ATTTTTATCTTTCCAAGTAGGTTCTTAATTTCTCTCTTTTCAACAGCTTCAGCACCACATAACACTGGAGCACAAATTAGGGCTTTTTGCAAGACTTTTCCTTGAGCCAAAAACTCTTGCCTACCGGGTCAGCCGTCTGCACAGGAAATATGGTCATTTCATACTTCATTTTCCTGTGGTAAACCTAGAAAGTAAAACACTGATACAGAAATGTAGTCACTGTGCATGACAAGGAATAACTGAAAGAAAAACTGTGAAAGAAAAAACTGAACAGCATTAGGCTAAGCAATAAAGAGTAACTATTTGCTTGTGCCAACTCTCTCAAAGAAGGAAAATCTAAACTTCTGTAGAGATACAAGCACACCGAATACTTTATATATCTCCCTTCTTGCCTTCTCACTCACTACTAAACATGTTCTCCCATTACTATAAGAAGAAACTGACCTACCAGCTTCTTCTATGTTCATGCTTCTGACTGGAAAACACGTATTGTAAAAGACCACACTCTGCAGGCTTGCTTCCATTAGATAACTCTATCAGTTAAATCTAGAAAGATCCTTTCTGAGCATCAAGAGAAAAACAATTTGTCGAGCATAGGAAGGAACATGTCTCAGCTTATTACATGGCTCCCCATGATGTAAGCTTAAGCACCTAAAATAATAGAAAGTTGTGTTTTGGGACATAAGCAAGTGCATGAGGTCAGGTGGGGCATTTTCCTCATAATTATGTTGAATTACTCTGTTAATACCACTCTTTTTTCCACACCCTTATCTCTCTTATCACACTAAACAGCATCTAAATACATTAATTAACAGTGTACAGTATCAAAAGTTTTAGAAGAAAACACAGATGATTGGGTCAAGCAGTCATTAGAGATGCATCTGTGACTCATCATGTAAATGCATGCACCTAATTTTTTTCCCATTCTAAATTATAAGGGTTTTAGGACTTCATAACTGCAAAATAACAGCAAAAGAGCAAAGCTTTTTAAAGGCCCTAGAGAATCTTGAAAATACCTTTCAACTGAAGAAGAGGTCTAGGTTTATGTTCATGAAAAGGGACAACTGCATTATCACCTGCTTCAATTCTGTGTTCAGACCAGAATTCCACAATGTTTGCTGCAACTGTAGAACAGAGCATCAGGCTCCTTGTTTTGGAGAAGACAGATAACTATGCAGCACCATTCAGTCTGAGCAGGAGTTGTTAAAACTACTGGGTAGACTTGACTTTAATGGCAGGTTAGTCTGTACCGCAGCTCAGTGCTTAACAGTAGTCATGTGGGGTCAGATTAAAGACCCAGTTAATCTAGTAATTTATCTATATTTATGGCAAATAAATAGGTAGGGAAATAATACAAGGAATAGGTAAGGAAAAGTGATCCAGTTCTTAGCTTGCCTTCACAGTGTTTGACTATTGGTGATTAACAGACTGTGTGCAACAGGATCAGCATGTATATCCCATTCCTCGATGATCTAGTGCTCCTGACTTTGTCAGATTCCTTCTGATTCTTATATAAAGGAAATAAATTTTCATAAAATGCAGAATTAAATTGTGAAATTTATTGTCCCAGCAAGCTGCAGATAAAAATATAAAAGACACCCAAATAGAAATGTAGTGCATTATCCCAGTGCTGTCACTATGGCCACCAGCAAAATGAGTTATATGGCAGCCTTCCAGGATATACTGGCTGAGTTTTGTTTTGAAGGTAAAATGTAAGAATTTCCAGAAGACATGGGTTAGACAAAATTTGGTTTGAAACACAAGAGAACATTTGCAAGCACAACATGTGGACACTGATCAGTTCCTTCAGGGAGAAAATTTTTTGCTTAGTTTCAAACTGGCTTTCCCTGATGTGATCATATTTGTTCCCTGCTACTAAAAAGAGACACCAGAAAGAGGAATTGTCTACAAAATATAAATAAAAATGGAAGAAAAAAAGGGTTTATTTTACTGTCTTGAGAGCTATGTGTCTGGGTTTTTTTATTTAATTGACTGAGTAAATATAAACCTTGCATTAGTTCAGTGGTGGCTGCACAGCAATAGAGGGCAAAATACAAATACTGCCCAACTGGAAAAGGGCAAAGAGCAAAAAGACATGCTCTTCATGACAAGCTATTTAAATCCACTACAGGATGCCTATATTTGATATGTACACCAGAACATCAAAAATAATATACTGTTCTTAAAATTTAAAATAATAATTTGTGAAGTATTTTGTTTATATTTTAATGCATGAGAAAGGCAAGGAAAAAAACCCATTCTTCCTTACATGTATTACCTTGTTTGCTCCTACAGAAATTTTTCTCTCTCTCCCAGGGTCATCCCCTCCATTTGCAGATATGGAGGCTGAGATACAGGGCTTGGTTTGTCCAGGCTCAGCAGCAAAGAAGGGAGCAGAAAAACCCGGGTTTCCTCACTTTTAATCAGAAGTCTAAAGCTATGCCGGCTGCATGCTGCCTGCCAGGTGCTAATCTGGCTCCTACGGAAATAAAGAGTGCCGGAGAAAGACTTGTATTGTACCTTGTAATTATATATCTTCCTTTCCTCAGGGCTGGACAGGCCTCTTAGGTAAACACAACATGGAAAGTACAAGGAAAACAGTTGGCTAGACCAGTAGGAGAAATTACTTGAGACAGCTAAAACCAGAAGTCAAACAGGTGTTACAGACTGACTCTGATGGTATAGAATCTGACTCACTTGTATGGGTAAAATGAGTTGGCTGGTTTTTATACACATATAGGGTACCTAAAATTGAGCACTATGCATAGCAACTTTTAGATCATAGTTATGAGATGAAAGCCCCAGCCCTACCAACAATTTACATCAAAATTCTTCTAAGCAGAGTCCTTGACAGCCTAAACTGTGATTTTTCTTCAAGCAAAGGAAACAGCTTTAGTTGTATTTAAATGGCACATTGGTTTATTGTTCTAGGTATGTGCAGCAATTCACTGAGGTGACCATTAACAGCTCTGATTTAATCCATTTACAAGCACTTATCCTGGATGAATGTATATTTTAGCATACAGTTTCATCCTTTCCATGTCTTGGTAGTGTATTTATAATGCACTATTGAATTTCAGTAGAATTTTTTTAATCGTCTCTTTAAGAATATATATTATTGATGACAGCACATGAACTAGAAGAAATACTTTTAGATTAATTAACAGTGACCTGTAATTAAGCACTACAGTACTTGGAGATGGAGTGGTCCCTAGAGAATATTGCTTTAGCTTTAATGAGTGTTTATCATTCTTGTTTGCTTCCCTTGTGGCAGTTATCAAGGTTATTTACAGAGTTTCTTAAATGCATATACCTAGAAGGCATTGCCTTAACAGAAAAGAGCTTAAAATAGTCATGACTTAAGCGTCATCTCAAAGTGTGCAGACTCCTGCCCTACAAATTTTTAGTCACAGTTTACCTATGGAGCTCAGTATTTTCCTTAAGCCATACCTGACACTAAACACTGTGGTGTGTTCGGGATTGCTCATGTTCCTTTGTCTTTGAAAGGTACGAGTATGTTTTATTAAATGTTTGTCTCTTCCGGTACATGAAAGACTCAAAAACATGTTTTTAAATGAAAGGTTGGTGAAGGATTTTTGATTCCTGGCTCTTGCGTCACTGACAAGTCTCTGCAGAGTAATTAAGTAAATATTGCACATTTTCAAAATGCAGTCTGATGCTTTTATTTTTTTTTTATTTTTAAATTTATAATAGAATTAAAGGATCACATTCCTATCAAATTTCATGGGAAATTTGGAACCTAAGGTGATCTGAGGAAATAATCTGATTTATGCCAATCCTGCACTTTCAGATGTCACCTGAAACAGCATATCCCACCTGAGAAAAATTCCCCACATTTCCAGCTGTTGCAGGTTGAGAGCTGAAACAACTAAAATTAGATAACAGGGGAAACTTCACCTTTCGACAGTAACATGCTTACGAAAGCTTACACGGTTTGTAGAGGTACTTATATGATTACAGTATACAGCATATGATTATGATACATAAAATATAAAAAACAAATATTGCTACTGCTAAAGAATAATCCTTAGGTATTATTTGAATTATCTCCAGTGGAAATCCTGATTATCTCCGCCATTACTTTGCATTGTGTTGCTGGCAAGGTATTGTTAATTAGTTTTATTTGAACAATAAAACAAGATGCATGAAGCAATAAACATAAAGCATTAATATAAGCACTGATCATGAGAAGATTGTGAAAATAAAATTTGGAAAAAAAAAAGCAGATCTTATTTGGTCCCAGACCTATCTCTGAACTATCTGGTCTTAGCAGTTAAAATTAGGCAATCTTGGGAAGGGAGGAAGGTTACAATTGTTTAAATCCTAAGTAAAAATAGAATACTGACTGGGTTCAAATGAAGGTTGTTCTGAAAGTAACTTGCACTTACAGATTCTTGCTGCCAGTCTAGATACTTCCTATGTTAAAGCACAGTTCACAAAAATCTCAAAGGGGTACAGACCATTACAAGTGCCCACATGGTAACTTTTCTAGATGCAATACAGCAAAAAAATGTCCTGGAAAATAAAAAGTAAGTCTGGAATTCTTACACGTGCCAAATATTTAACCAGAATAGTTATTTGGGAGACTGGAACAAAGCTGTTTGAAAAGTGTATTCACTCGCTGCCAGTTCTTGTCCTGATTATAGCTGTGCGGTTGAAACAGCATTTCCTACCACCGTTTCTTATTCTTCCTCCCTGAAACATCTTCCCTCCCCCATTTCCAGTGTGGCATCAGATTGTGCCAGCCCTGAATATTGCTGCAATTTACTGCTGAATCATCATTGCCCTGCTGTCATAGATCATCATCATCACTGCCCCAACAGGAACATTGCAACGGCAACCTTTTGGTATGAGAAAGGAGAGCAGCTTCCAAGACACATGCAGTAGAAAAAGCTGAGTATAGTATGTTCTTTCAGAAAAGGCTGTCTTCCTCTTCAAAGGAAGTTCCCTGGGGTCTATGATCACTCTTTTGGAAACTGTACAATTATTTCCTGCCATGATTTCGCCTCTGCTCACATGCAGTACCTCCAGAATGCCCAAAGGATCAATGCTCAAAGGCAATGAGCAGTAGAAGAGACTTCCGTTGTTTATCATGGTGCCACTGAAGTCTTCTGGGGTTGACAGATGCTGCTCCAGAAGGTTAATAAGATGAAGAAAGCTCTTCTAGCCGGACCGTAAGAGGGATTATGTCTGAGGAGCAGATAAACAGATTATTCCAGAAACAGACACTGCTTTTTTTTAAGACTTCGTCACTCTTGTCTTACCCCTCCAGCTCCCCAGGCTAAGTGTGCGTGTTGCAGGGGTTTGCCCAGCTCCAGCATTCTGGCACCTGTTGCACTCTTTGCTTAGTTGCAAGTCAATGCAGTACGAGGCTGGGATACCTGAAAAAAAAAAAAAAGGGAAGATTTGTGGGAACTTTATTTAGTTCTTTAAGGAAAAGAAAATTATTTTAATTGACTTAAATATTTTGATTTCCTGCATTATTGATCTTGAAAACTGTGAATGATCAGTAGACAGCATGCATTTGAAAATTGGATTAATATTTTTGATCATTTGCCTTGCTCTTCAAGTTCAGGGAAGCAGAGGTAAGTTCATCTATTAAATGCTTATATGAATTTACATTGTTTCTGTTGAAAAAAAAAGTAAGTTGAAATATCAGGTTATTTTCATATTACAAAATTGTTTGTTTGGAATTTGGTATTTCAACAATTCAGCTAGAGAAAACACAGTTACTGACACTGCTATAAAGTTGGAAAAGAAACACTAGCAAGGGTTCTTATGTGTGTTTCCCAGGCTTTACAATCTCTGTATGAGATGCCATTTAGTTTTCATTTATCTGCACATGTTCTGTTATGAAAAAATATAATTTCAGAAACAATTGTAGGGAAGAGGTATAATAGCTAAAAAATGTCTCAGTGCTGAAATTGTTAAAGATGGTCTGTTATCCTTGAAACAAAGTATATCTTTGTATTTACTAGCCATTGTCAGAAACATCTGAAACTTTTATATATATACAAATTCTGGAGGAATCAAACATACTGGCAAATATAGAAAAAATGCAATACCATTAAGGATTACTGTAGCTATAATTGTAAAATTATTTGTAAGAAAACAAATATAGACAACTCCTGTACTTAGCACAACAGCTAACTGCTGCTCCTTTTAAAAACAGTAAAAAGTTCACAGTAATTTTAAGCCTTCTTTAACAACAAAAAAAGTATGATGGTGTGAGTTTTCCCTGTTCAGTTCCATATTCAATACATTTAGAGCCTTGGGGAACATATTTAATTTTGGGAGAGGTTTCTTACTAACTTTTCCATCTATGCTTTGATATTTACATAATTGAATTAAAAGTCAACATTACAGCTGCTTTATGCTTGCCCAAGTCAATGACCTCCTATTTATGTCAATCTCACTCATTAATTAAATGCAAAGAATGTGAAGTGATAAAAGGGAAGTCTCCTCAATGGCATTTAAATATTTGTTAAAGAGATGGTGTGAAACAAAACAGGATCTGCTGTCAATAATACATGGAAATTTTTATTTACACTTTTTTTTTTTTTGATCCTGTTTTTCTTTGCACCGATTTTCTTTAAAGAAAAAATAAAGAACGCAGTTCTTTTATCTCCCTGAAATGATGTAAATCTTCCCTAGTGGTCAATTACAGTGCTGAAAAACTCCTTGGGAAAAAGTCCTGTGTTAATTAACGCTAGGTTTATATTCTGTTGCTCTTTGAGTTTACTTTTTAATTCCATTTAAATAGTGTCGTTTAACAATTAATGGTATTTTGGAAATGTGACAAAAAGTGAGAGAATGAGTGACAGTTCATATGTGACAAGAAGAAAAGTTATATCAAAGTGCACTACTTTTGCATTTAAGTTGCGTATTCTATGATGGAAAGAGCTAGAATGAATTCCAGGTAATTTGTGCATGCTTCATGGCATCATTACAGTCCGCATTTATAATTACGATCTGAGAATGCGACAATGTAAAAAGTGGGGTCACACAGTTTCAACCATTGTACAGTGTGACTCTATGTTACAACTTATTTCCCATAAGAGACTTCAGCAAAATCCTGGGAGGCTATACAGAACTGTGTGTTATCTTCCTAAGAGTTGTAGTAGAAGATTTGGTGCATAGAATGTTTTCAACTCTAAGGAAACAATGACCAATAATAAGCGTCATGTAACATCTTGCTTACATAGCAGTGTTGTGATTTGCTCATTTTTCATAGCTTTGAGAGTAAAAAGATTTTTTTTTTCATACATGCATGTAAATGATATACATAAATGTGAAATAATTACCTTTTATTGTCACATAGTCATAACATATATAAAATTTTAAAATTATGTTTTCCCAAGTATATGCACACACATCTCAAAAGACTTAATGCTTATATTTAACTTCTTTACTAGAGCAAGGATGCTGCCATTTGGAGGCTGTCCAGAAGCACCTCCAATTCCACAGTAAACAAACAGGAAACTGCAGGAAACAAAGTCTTTAAAGAGAGAGTGTTTACCCTTGGCCATGACTAGTGCCAGAATCCAGGATATTACTTCAGGACTTGAACTCACGTCTTTGCTACTGTCCTGACACAAATCGTCTCTAAAATGGGAAAGAAAAGTGAGGGGATAAGACCTTTGCAATAGCAAAAACTCTATGCACAAAATAAGACACTAGAGCAATTTTTAACTGTTGAATTCTAAACCACTGAAAACCCAGACCAACTAGCAAAGTACAGGGAAACTCTGAACTCCCCAAAACATACACTGTTGCTGAGTAGATCTTAGCAATTTATACTGAAAATTTAAGGGAGCCAGAGACTGTCCAAGGCTGTTTAGTGTTATTTTTTATTCAGCAAGCAAATATCTGCTATTTACTCAGCCATCCTTGAGGACACAAAGGCTTTGTGTGTGCTCTATGAAATCATTTTAATGCATTCTGACTTGCTCAGCTGTTCCAGTTCAACACTAAGTGCTGAAGATGTTCATTACTATAATTGCACTTGAAAAAAAGGTTAAGCAAATTTTTGCCAAAGGGAAAGGGAAGTCAAAGAATATAAGGCTTCAAAAATTAAAGAAAAAAAAAAAGAAGACATCTGCTTTTTGAACTAAGATAATTTTCTACTTTCATCCATAAAATAAGAACTACTAAGTTAAAGTTATCTTTCCTGGTTGTGAAAATTAAACTGTGAAAAGTAAACTTTTATTCCTTTTCTAAAAATGTAGCACTGCATTATATGTGGGATTTAATCTTATCTATTTTCTGGCTAAAAGCCAAACTTGAATAAAAATACTAGAATATTGTTGCTGAACCTTAAAGATTAATTCCAGCTATAATCACATCCATACCATAGTGATTAGTGAACTGTGTGTGAATGAACAGTTAGATATGTGGGATTTTTTCTCTGAAAACAGCTGTGGTCAAAATGATCACTATTAATAGTAACAGGGTTTTCCCCTTTACAGGGAATTAATTTACAAGCTGCAATAAAGTAACTTTGCCTAGAGTCTTAACCTGCTAGAAATGCAGACTACTGTTTATTGCATTCTTAATTTCTCAACTAATTGTCCTAGTGGCTTCAGCAGTGCACTAAATGATATGGCAAAGAATCATCAGATGCAGCACACACACTGTCATATTCCCAGAAGGAAAACTGTATGCATTTTGGTGCTTTTAAATATTTTAAATAAATTTTTTCCTCTATGCTTTTCTACCTCTGTCCTATTCTGAATCCCTCTGTGATTAAAATGAGTCTTCTGTTCACAATAAAATCACAAAATCCTTCCACCTTTATCAGAAATTAAGTGCACTATCCTGCACATTCCATGTGCTTTGCACTTTGGGATTCCAGCTGCATTGCAAACAATTGCTTCCCCTCAGAAATGAGTGATATTGAACAACACTTCCTAAAAAGAAATATCTATTGACCTGTCTGCTTGTCTATACGTATATACTGGCATACAGTCACTATCAGCTGCTATTTACTGGACAGACACTTCAGAATAGTAGCACATCTTGAAACATAAGATTAACAATCACTTGGGAGTACGCTGACACCTGATAGAGTGTAGGTATGTTTATATACCCTTACATAATTGCAGCACACCTTATCATTTTCTGCAAGCATGCCAGCAGTATAAACCTTATAATATATCTGACAGAGTAACACTGTCATCCTCATTTCACGAAAGAAAGAAGACCTCAGGTGTAACACAGAAACTGAAGCCCTGACCTGTAGGAAGCATTGCAGTCATAGAAGACAACAGCAGTTGGTTCCTATGCTAAGACAGTTGGTTTTAGAAGCAGCAGGCTGATTCTCAAAGCAGCTGCCTAGTCACATAGATGTCTGCAAAGCAGAAAGACCCAGACTCATCTCTACAAAGCTAATTGTACTTAGACCGCCATGTTTATCTTTTCAGTGATGAGGTTCTATTGGCTTATGAATTTCTACTTCTGTGCAGACCCAAAATTACCTTCTTATGGGTTCCTCTGAATCTTTCAGTACTCTCTCAGACTTCACCTAATTGAATATTAAGTCTTGGTGACCCTGCTACCTGAAATACCAGCTTTAGTGGGTATGCTCCAGGTACATATTTCATACATATGATTCAACAGAGACCATAGAAGCCCCAGCAGTTTCAGGTAAGAAGCAATAAGGCACTCAGCTTTCATTTTGTGATTTTATGGTTACAGCACAAAATGAAGACAGTTCTAATCAAGTTCTTTTTCCTTTCCTCTTCCTCAAAAATTGATCAATCTCATCTAGCCCAGAAACTGGCCATGCTTGGAGCAAGAAATTGGACAAGGTGACCTCCAGGTGTCCTCCCAACCTAACTTGGTCTATGCAACTTGACACATAACTAAGTAAGGTTAAGTCCAAGGCATTCTCTGTCAAAATGAGATGAAGAAAATTAGCCAGAGAGTGCAGACTGTATTGCAGGATGAGTGCTCCAAACTATGAGTAAATTTGAACAGTTCCAACCACACAAGTTAATGCAAAGAGATGGCACTATGGGTTCTCACTCCTAAAGATTTCTCATATGCCAATCATCCTAATTGTCATCATATTTGAATGCAGTTACCTCAATAAGCCTATTCTATACTGCAGCATTTTGACTCACACCATCAAAATTGTTGAAATGTTCATATATACAGCAAAATCTCACTGGAACTTGAACTTGTGTTGTCTCACTGACTTTCTCAAAGTATCAAGATTCCAGATCTTCATTAAGACGGATTAAAAAATGGCCAGCAGAGGTGCACAAGTGCTTCATCATGGCAGATTGGACACATCCCTCAAAAAACTATGCTAAAAGAATAAAGCATTTTTTTGTATCCTTTGATGTAAACCATATCAGATAATAGAACGGCATTTCAGGTCAAATGTTTCTAAGATGGCCAAGGAAATATGAATAGATACATTTCATATGTCGACATTAAAACCAGTCATTCTTCAATGCTGTTTCTAGCCTGGGTCATGGACCTTCAGAGACTGTTACAGGATTTAGATGTTGGCATGAAACCATAGATGGCCCTTGGTATTCTTTATGAATTCCAGTAGCAGAAGTTAGTAGAGCTGATG